AATCAAATGAGACGACAACATTTTAAAAGCACCACCCGCAATTATAAGCTGCTCCGAATGGGCCCTTAGTTAGTCATATTTAACTACCTTCTATGATAACGATACATTTGCTGTGACACTTGAATGATAACACCCTGTCACTAGAAAAATACGTTGCACCACCAAGTTCTCAATGTTACCTTGCATTTCGGGCTTCTGGCACCACAACAATGCCTATTTGGTGTCACAGTGGTGCATATATTTCTATTCATTTCTCTCCAAATTATTGTCATATTAATTTTCTATACAACAAATAGTGTATAATAAAAACATAAACTAACCTTACATTTATACATAAACACATCTAATTTTTATACAATTTTGGACACTTCATAAAAATATTAAGGAAAATTTTTACCTAGTTATTTATATTACTTCAATGTTAATGAAATCTCAGTCACATTCAACAAATATTATGGTTTGTAGTTTGAGGTTTTATGAAGTAAATGGAGGTGGATTTCTTGTCCCACTTATTAAGATCAAATTTTTAATAAGTTTAATAACTTTTTAATTACTTCTAAACTTGTATGTGATCCCATAAATATACTCTCCATAATGATGATTAATTGGAACATCTTTATGTGTAACAAATCAATTTAATTGATCACTTTCTCATAGGAGAATGAGGAAAAATAAGATTCAATTATCATTCAATTTTAATTTAAACCTCAAATCTAAAAAAAATAGTCACACTAGTACCAACATAGTTCAACTAAGGTTTGAGTATAAACAACTCACTTTTGGTTTAAGAAAATTAAAAGAAGATTAAACTTATAATATAAGCTTAAAATCTTATTTGAGGTTCTCTTGAGATAATTGGCAGAATACTAAATTTGAATTTCATTCTAATGAGTTGCGAAAAAAGTAAAATGATTATTTAACAAATATTCGAATATGGTTTAAACCTAATTGGACCTCTATCTTAAGAGCAGTTCAGACCCAGTTATACATCTAATTATCCACCTCTAAGTTCAAAATGAATAAAAAAAATTAGTTCAAAGTAAGTTTAAGAATTAAACATTGATTTTGAATCATATTTATTTTAAACTAGATTTATTCTTCCATCTCCTTCTTATTATAACTTGGAACTATCCTCATTGAAATGGGTTATGAATCTAGCCTAAATAATAGAATTACATTAGGTTTAATTGTTAATAGAGGATTGGTGAAGGGATCATAATAAATATGTATTAGAAGGAATTATACTGAACATTTATAATGAGTACTTAAGCTCTTAGACTACTACAAATGAAGAAGCTTCACAAAAAGGGGAAGTTTGAATTCATCTTATATTTTAACATTCTTGAGACAGGTGAGAGGTGTAGAGCTTGACTTCGAGTAATGAGATATTGTTAGATAAGAAACCTGAAAAGATGTAAAGAATGGTGTAGAAATAATCGATAAGCATTTGGTGAAGGATTAAAAGGAAAATTTAAGTTATGGGCCTGTCATATAAGGTGCAGCAAGAAAATTAAAAGGTTAAGATCTAACTTTAGGCCTTTTGTGCAAAATAAATATGTAATTTTTGGGCTTAAAGTCTCTTGAAAATCTTAGATTGGGATATCTATAGATGTTCTAGAAAGTTTTATGTATTTTCATAAGATATTAATAGTTTTCTCTGAATTTTATTTGAAAACTAGGTTACAAAAGATATTAATTTGGTTGCAAGCTTTGAATGAATTTTTGGATTTTATGCACAGTGTCAAGGTGTGAGAAAAATAAGAAAACACTTATTAATGATTGAAAAAATGTGTAGATTAACTATAGAGCTTATCACCTATTTCTAGGTATTTTGGTTGGCCAAAAAATCAATGTAACAAAACTAGATCATAACCATTCATAGCCTTGGCTGACCACTTTTGTTAAACTTTTGTGAAGATTTTGTTGGAAAAAATGAGGGAGATTATTTAAAGTTGTAGAAGATTGAAAGAAAAAATTTTCGATGCAATAAAATAGATTTCTAATAAAAAAAAGAGAAAATAAAAGAAAGAAAGAGCAAGTTAAATTAAAAATAATCACTCACCAAAACAATGGGGTGTTGAAGATAATCAAATATCTTCCTCCTTGGGCCGAACACCAGGTTTACTAAGTCTTGGATGAAAATTTTGAAATTTTTTAGCAATTAATCCCTTTTCATTTAGCTAAAAATAATAAATAAGCATGTCCTTATACCATTCCTAATATTATTAAGAAAATAGAGCAAAGAGTGTGAGAGGAAGGAGCACTTTTTCTGTCCAGACTTCTGACCTAGCTCTACGTGCGACGTAGGTTATTCTTGAGTTATTGTCAGGTTATTTCTGGGTTATTTTCAATAATACCAAAATAACCCAGAAATAACCCACGGTTTTTATTTTTGGGTTATTTTTGGGTTATTTATGTATTATTGAAAATAACCCAGAAATAACCTGAAAATAACTCAGAAATAACTTCCGCCGCACGTAGAGCTACGTCAGAAGTCCGCACAGAAAAATTTTTTGAGAGGAAGGGGGCTTCCTAAGTTAAAAATAGGGATTATAGATCTCTTGTTTTACCCTTAATCTAGGAAATAAATAAATTACAATTAATAAATCCCCTCATGAATTTAAATAATATCTTTTATAATTTGAAAATTTAAACTTCAATGTTGTTAATGGGCTGTTTTGAATCACTTTTATTTTTATTTATTTTTATTTTCCTTTTGCTTTTTAAAATATGTTTTGTTTAGTGTGTATTTATATAATTTTATTTTTTATTACTAAAAATAAATTAACATACTTTTAAAAATATTTATAATAAATTTTTAGGTGTTTTAAGTTTTTTAAAGACAATTATACTTCAACTAAAAAATCAAACATCTTTTTGTTTCAAAATAAAACATAAACAAAATAAAATTAAAAATAAGAAATAATAAACATAAATATAAAAGGGATCCTAAATGATCCCTAGCTTTAAACTTTTCATATAAATACATAATCATAAATTCTAAATAAAGTCTTATAAAATAACAAAAGTAATAACAAATAAAAGATGAACTATTACATGAATCAAGTCTTTCTATACTTTTCATGATTGGGCCAATTTTTATTTATCTTTTTGTTATTTTGGTTCTTCTTGATTGGAACCATGCTGCATAAGTGAATATGAGAAACTATAACAAGTTTTGTAGTAGTAAATATATTTTGATTTGAAGTGAAATTTGGATCATATTCCTATAAAAAAAAGTGCTTAAATATTTGTGCAAGGAAAATATAAACTGTCAAAATTTCGAATGGGAACCACAACACACCGCCATAAATAGGGAAAATATTTGCATACGTAAGACGCACACAATCCTGTGTACGTCGTGAGATTATTCAGAGGGTATAGAGGAAATATCTGCATTATATCCCCTGTAACCTCCCTGTAACTTACTTGTAACCTACAAATAAGTTTCACGTTTCTGTAGTTTTGGTAGATATAAATAAATTAGGAAAAATTATTCCATACGGACAACATCCCCTCATGAATTTAAATAATATCTTTTATAATTTGAAAATTTAAACTTCAATGTTGTTAATGGGCTGTTTTGAATCACTTTTATTTTTATTTATTTTTATTTTCCTTTTGCTTTTTAAAATATGTTTTGTTTAGTGTGTATTTATATAATTTTATTTTTTATTACTAAAAATAAATTAACATACTTTTAAAAATATTTATAATAAATTTTTAGGTGTTTTAAGTTTTTTAAAGACAATTATACTTCAACTAAAAAATCAAACATCTTTTTGTTTCAAAATAAAACATAAACAAAATAAAATTAAAAATAAGAAATAATAAACATAAATATAAAAGGGATCCTAAATGATCCCTAGCTTTAAACTTTTCATATAAATACATAATCATAAAATCTAAATAAAGTCTTATAAAGTAACAAAAAGTAATAACAAATACAAGATGAACTCTTACATGAATCAAGTCTTTCTCATACTTTTCATGATTGGGCCAATTTTTATTTATTTTTTTGTTATTTTGGTTCTTCTTGATTGGAACTATGCTGCATAAGTGAATATGAGAAACTATAACAAATTTTGTAGTAGTAAAGATATTTTGATTTGAAGTGAAATTTGGATCATATTCCTATAAAAAAAAAGTGCTTAAATATTTGTGCAAGGAAAATATAAACTGTCAAAATTTCGAATGGGAACCACAACACACCGCCACAAATAGGGAAAATATTTGCATGCGTAAGACGCCCACAGCCCTGTGTACGTCGTGAGATTATTCAGAGGGTATAGAGGAAATATCTGCATTATATCCCCTGTAACCTCCCTGTAACTTACTTGTAACCTACAAATAAGTTTCATGTTTCTGTAGTTTTGGTAGATATAAATAAATTAGGAAAAATTATTCCATACGGACAACATATACAGAGATACATGCAGTGCCCGATCTCTATCGTCGATCACTGTACAAATATATTTCCAACTTCCAATTTTTTTTTTAATTTTAATTACCGTGATCTAAATGGAGATCGGACACACAGTGTCCGTTCCGAATAATCTCTCCTAAATTAGAGCGAGGTTAGGGGTCCCTCTCTCAATAAGCTCCTAAGGACGTACGCAAATATTTACCCACCAATAGCCGCTGCGAGGACCAGCAGCGTTATCCACGGAGCAGAAAGAGGCGAGGCGACGAACAGATGTCTCATAACCCTTCGCAGCTCCTTCCTTCAGGTTTGGTTGCCTGCCATTTCTATACATCTATTTCGGCATCACTTTCCTCTTTTCAGTTGTTTCAAATTTTGAAATCAGAGTTGATCGATCGGTGCATTGGTTCGAAGATCTGGGTGATTATGAAGGGCGACAAGGAGCTTGTCGGAACCCTAAGAGGGTTTGATGTCTATGTCAACATGGTTCTCGAGGACGTCACCGAATAGTATGCCAAATCACTCCCTACATTCTATTTCTCACGAACTATTTCTTTGAGGTAGCTAGTTGCTTAAGCCGAATCCCTATTTTAAGTTAAAGTTTTTTTACCCTGTTGTCAAACAAAGAAGTTAAAGTTTTTTTACCCGGATTTTGAAGTGGAGACATTCCACAAGAGAAAGAAGGAATATTTGAACGTCCTTCTTCTTGCTGTCATAGACTATTCTTTATTCGGCTGTAGGGGGAAACGACTTTGTTTCTGAAAACCTTTTCACCATGCCTTCCTCGTGTAAACAACTCAGCATCAAAACGAAGCAGAGATGGTGCTAGAAACTATAGCAAGCAAACTGTTTGAATGAGAATAGATATTGCAATGAGCAAAACTCTGCACGCTAACTTGCCAAACTAAATTTTTTTCTGAAAAAACATTCAGAAAGTAGAGTGCAAGAAAATGCCTAAGCTAGCGATCCACTAAGATGTTGAATATGCAATATAGACACCCATCGTGTGCTAAATATAGGCAGCATCTTTGTCCAGTTTGCTCTTGCCATCTAGCTTATCAGTTACATAAATAATTATCAACATAATTAGTCTTATTCCTAATCATCTGAGTTCTTTATGAATCCTCAACTTTCACTCATGTTTAGTGCTAAGTAAGGTGATAGCTTTGTTTTGTGTGTTTTTTATTCAACTGCTAAAAAACCACCTTAAGGGGCTGTTTGGTTTCAAGTAGATTTAGGTTAAATAGGATTTAGTAAATTTTGTTAATTCGAATTTATCAAATCTTTAGGGAGTTAAATCCTGATAAATCCCAAGAAACTGTTTGATGATTTCAGTAAGATCTAATTTGATTTAGATTATTAAAGTCTTACAAGCATTTTTTTTTTGCTAAAATCATAAATCCAGCATTTCATAAGCATGCATTCAAAAATTACTTAATGATTTTCAAATGCCTTCAGGAGTTAAAAGTTTAATATTGAATATTAATAATATAATTATTAAATCTAATTAAGCTTAAATTAAAGTTTTTATGTATAGTTATACCAATCAATAATTAAATATTTATTGAACTAATTAATCATTAACAATAATTTTGTTAAATTAGTTATATGAAATAATAATTTTATATTCATTAATTAAGAATTAATTAGTTATTTATTAAACTAATTAATAATTATTAAATGATTAAATTTAAAATGTATTTAATTTAATTAATTAATTATTAAATAAATATATTAATTTATATAATTATGATTAATTTGATAAAATATTAATTAATTATTAGCTATTAAAAAATTAAGCTAACTCAAATAAAATTAAATTAAAGTGACAAAGCCATGTTCCCCTTCCTCTCCTACGAAATCCTTGTCGACGTCCTTGTTGTTTTCACCCAATGCCATCGCATTTGTGACCAAATGCTCGTGATACAAGTCACGGTTAGAGCTGGGAAAACAACAATGGGATCACGATGCACAAGACTTCCAAAACTTCTTTTTTTCTCCTCCTTTTGGTCAGCTCCTACCGTAAACCGTTGAGGAAGGTAACCCTCACCTTTCTCCTCCTTTCTCTCTCTTCCTCTGCGCTCTTTAGTTTCTCTAAATCCCATAAATTCATCTTGGAATGGGATTTACTAAATCCTAGATTTAAGGCAAAACAGAGGAAAAATGAGATTTAAAACCTGCAGAATTTATGAATACATTTTTTGTCGTTTGGTAAGATTTAGCATAAATCCTGTATACCAAATAGCCCCCATGTCACTTATTTAACTTTCGAGTATTCTCTTTTTAATTCTATGAAACTATCCTGCAGTGTATTTCTTCCCTATGCTATCATCAACAAACCATATATTTCTATTTTTTATCACCTTATATTTAATAAGTGTTGCTCAGGCTTTATAATATAATCATTTCTCACTCCATCTTTCAAACTCTTTCCACATAAATATATGTTACACTTAATAGGACCATTAGTGATTTCTTTGTTGATTAACACTTGGATCAATGTAAAATAATTGGTTTAATTGAGGTTTTATGAAATATATGTTTAAATAGTTTATGAAAACATGAATCACTTACTCTAAACAGTCAATTTTAACTTTAACAGGTATTCACATTTGCTTATGTCTCAATAGTTTATCACCTTTTATTATTTTTCCTTCTAATTTTAGCACACGTCCTCTTAATTTTTTTTATATTTCTACAACGTTTGACTTACTACCAATGTTTCTTTTTTGCACACCACTTAGATTGTTATTACATAACCATTTTAGCTGTTATTTTGTAAGATTTATCTTCAAATCGCTAAGATCTCCTCACATTGCATCTCTTAAGACATTTTTTTAATTTTAACAAAACAGAGAAATTATATTCTTCTTTATATTTTAAGTCTCCTATTTAATAAATTTAAGATATTTGAAGTTATCATAACTATTGAATGATAATATCAATTTATAATCTTTGAAATTTTATATATTCAATATTTATTTTTATAATTCTAAATTCTTGCCTTCTAAATTTTTTTCCACTATAATTTTTTACTTATTCCAGAAAGGATTTCACTTAATAGTACTATATATTTCAATATTTCACACCAAGATGCTTCACTTTTGACTTTCTTACAAGCACCTACATAACTCCATTAGAAATACAAATATATTTGGTTTTAATGCTTGCGTTGATTTGGTTCCACAATGCTACTATAATTGAAAACTTCTGTTTACTTTTCTACTTCGTAGATGTTATTATATGCTAAAAAACTTCAATATACTTCAAACACATCTATTTTTCTTTATGCACACCAAATTAAATCTCATATCTTTTAAAGCCATTAAAAATCATAGATCATTTCTTTAATACTATTGGCATAAAATTCACCTACATGATGGATCTTTGGCAAAAAGGTAAAATTGTATCTTCTATTATGAAAATGGTTTTTTCTAAGCCTATATTTTATCATTCATGTACATTCCAAGTCCAGACTCGTGGAGGATAAAAGACTAATTCGTCAATTGGGTTTTGTGAGTACTTGCTAGTCGAGCTAAGGATGGACTTGCCAGTACGGTTTTAGGAGGACTTGCTGGCAGGGTTCAAAATAAGAACATTCCTGGAGATGCTATATTCACCTAGCTCATGAAGAATTCGTTGAAGATTGGCACTAGACTTGCCATATTGATCTAGCCCAAATTGTTATCTAAATTTGAAGAAAATACTTGGCCAATGGTACTAAGAGGCCCAACTTTAAGTTTATGTCCAACGACTGACTTGTATTCGATGTCCAAGTCTATTCTTTGGGCACTTGCTCTGTTTTTTTTTATTATCCTGTGTTTAATACACATAGCTCATCCTCTAGTTTTTTCTATAGCACACAAGACCCTAGATTCCTTTCTATAGGGATTGCAATGAGAGCTAGCCGTTTATAATGCTTACATTATTTTATAGCACTTGGGTGATTATAATAGATTTTCTTTTCTTTTTTTCCTATTTTTGCTCCTCCTTTCACCTTTTATTTCCATGCTTTAGTTATGTTTCGACATAATCTATACCTAAAGCATGATCCAACATTATTTTTCATGAGGTGAGAGTAAAGCATGCCAAGGACTAGAAGAAACACGAAGATTGGCAGCAGGGATTAACAGAGATTAAATCAAAGGAACTTCTACAAGAGGAATTCCAATGAATATAATGAAGCTAAACTTTGTGAAAGATAGATAGCTAGCCGAAATGGAGTAAAGGATAGCCAGATGATCAAGGGGTCATGGATCAGTTCTCAATAGCAGTTCTCGGAGTGCAGCTGCTGAAAGAATATATGAACTTGGCAACTGGAAGAATCTATCAACAAGCAAGAACATTACAATCTCTTGATTAAATTATTGTTCTGATACAAAGAATTAGGAGTGGATGCTCGAACCTCATTGCCTCAAGGGCTGGGTAGAAAGAAAATCACGATTGATGAATGCATTATGTTGGGAGATTGTCGAAGTGAAGTAGTCCAAATTCAAGATTGCCCACCTAAATGTATGAAAAGGCCTTGTTGACCTAGACAACTTGTTGCACCGCTCGAGTCACAGTTTCTCAGTTGGACATCTGTGATGCCATAAAGTGTAGTTTATTCTTCACCTAACTTAAGGAGTTAGCTCGTATATGATTTTTTAATCTAATGATCAGGACAACGTCATTCATTGATTTCAATAAGATATTTGTGATCCAATTTGCTAACGCACAAACGTCACAAAAAAACTTGCTGACTCTCCTTAAGGTGTGCTTGGAGCTTGGTAAATCATTTTGGACTTTTGTGACAATGTTTCAAAGGGAGATGTTTGAAGTGAAGGATCTGAAATTTTCAGTGGCTTGTGTTGTCCTCATTTAAACCCTTAAAGTTTTTGTACAAATTAGGCTTGTAGTAGCCCAAGACTTTAGTATGGATATCTTAAATTAGGTAATAGCCATGCAAATGTGGAGGACTATACTAATGACATAGCAACATCATCTTCAAGATGACCTAAAAAACAAAACTGAGTAAGGAAGCCAAAACGCAAAACGACACAATCACCCTAAGATCCCATGACTTGAATACACTAGTCCTGAGTTTGTTTTGCTGCATTACCGCCACCAACCCATCAATCACTAACTGGGTTGGACCCATTTTGAATGGTTAGACGACCACAAAAGTGGAGAAAATTGCCGCTGCCACTTTTACTTATTCTATGCCCGCAGTCATGCAACTGTAGATGTCAATGGTCAAAACTGTTGAGATCATCCAGAATGAAGAGTATTTTTTGATGACCAATATCGTGAATGTTGGCCCTCACTTGAGGACATTATGAAGTACAATGCCTTTAATGGAGATCATGGCTACAGTACAAGAGTTGTTACCACCTTATGGAAATTTAGTCCAAGAATTAATTATTGCTGGAAAATTAAAGGAATTCATTATGATTGACTTTAGTTGAAGGCCTTGTTAGTAGCTACTTGTTGAAAGAAGAAATGAGCCACCCTTACATGTATAATTCTT